CTTTATGTAGATGATATTATATATACTGGTAGTTGTCCTAAAATGCTTAAGGAATTTAAGCAGGATATGATGCAACACTATGAGATGACAGACTTAGGGTTGTTGAATCACTTTCTTAGCATGGGAGTGATACATTTTTATCCATCAAAAGAAATATGCACTGAAACTTCTTGAGAAGTTTGGAATGAAGGACTGCAAGTCAATAGCAATTCCACTTGTGGTGAATGAGAAACTGTGCAAAGAAGATGGAAGTGAAGCAGCAAGTGAGAGTGAATATCAACAGATAGTAGGGAGCTTGCTCTATTTGACTGCCACAAGACCAGATGTAATGTTTGCATCTAGCCTGCTTGCTAGATTCATGCACAATCCCACAAGGAAACACATGGGAATTGCCAAAAGAGTGCTGAGATACATACAAGGCACTGTTGATTTTGGCATTGAGTTTGTGAAAGGGAAAACAACTACTCTAATAGGGTATTGTGACAGTGATTGGGCAGGAAGTGAGGATGATATGAGAAGCACCTCAGGATACGCTTTCACACTAGGCTCAGGCATGTTTTCTTGGGCTTCCATCAAGCAAAACACAGTGGCTTTGTCCACAGCAGAAGTTGAGTATGTGAGTGCTGCAGAAGCTACTTCACAGGCTAAGTGGCTAAGATTTGTGCTTGAGGATTTTGGTGAAGAACAAGTAGAAGGTACACCAATCCTATGTGACAACACCTTTGCTATTGCAATGGCAAGGAATCTAGTTCATCATCAGAAAACAAGACATATCAGTCGGAAATTCCATTTCATAAAGGAAGCTATTCAAGCAAAAGAAATTGAGCTGATCTAGCAGATATTTTGACCAAGGCTCTACCTAAGGATCGTTTTGTTAGTTTAAGAAGCCTCCTTGGTGTGAAATCAGCTAAAGGATTAGAAGGGAGTGTTGGAATGTAATCCTGCAGCTGCTTTCTTACAGCCGAAACTACCAAGCTCTATTTCTATTCTTTTATGTTTATTTTATATGTGATAAAATTAGAACCTTTGGATCATAGTCCAGGTGGATTCTCTAGCTTAGATTTGGAATGACAAGTGTAAGCACCTCATAGGGTAACAACTGTAATTCGGTTAGAGAAGAATCTTCCTTCTCTCTCTCTCTCTACCGAGCACACTATGTAAGCTAACTGTTTGTGAAAATGCAATACAACAGTCCCTTCTCATTTTTCTCTCTTCCTCTCTGCAAAATCTCCATCTGCATAAGGCTAAAATATACAAACAACCTAAAATACTAACACTGATGATGCTGAAACATGGCATTCACAAGGAAAGAGTGTCATCTTGGTAAACTAATATTTAAGTTCATCTTTCTCTCTTTTAACTTTTTTTCTTCCCTAGATGATAATTTGGTTCAAGCTACACAAAAAGTTTATACTAACTCTTCTTGATAAATCCATAGTGATGGCTTAAATGAACAGATAGAATAATACATCAAGGGATGTGGAATTGATCTTGATATGTTATTCAAATATTGGAGTCATTTTTGGGTTTCATGATTGAGAACTGTTATAACTATAGGTAAGGACAGAAACCAGTCCAGAAGATGTTAGAGGTATGCATGCAGCTGCTGGGATCTTGACAGCTAGAGGTGGCATGACATCTCATGCAGCTGTTGTGGCCCGGGGATGGGGTAAATGTTGTGTTTCTGGCTGCTCTGACATCATCAGAGTCAATGACACTGAGAAGGTGGTTTTAATAGTTTTCCTTTTGTAAAAAACATCTGTTGCAGTAAATTTTAAAGAGAAAATGGCATAAATGGGGGTCGTTCATTGATGATACAGGTGGCTGTGATCGGGAACACGGTCATTAACGAAGGAGAATGGCTTTCACTCAATGGATCCACCGGTGAAGTCATATTGGGAAAACAGCCACTTTTTCCTCCGGCTTTAAGTGTTGATTTGGAAACCTTTATGTCTTGGGCTGATAAAGTCAGGCGCCTCAAGGTGCCATATTTTCTTGCTATATATTTTTCATTTGGACTAGTACCAATTGGGTTCATCTCAAAATATTTGTTGTAATTCTGTAACAGGTTATGGCAAACTCTGACACGCCTGAAGATGCACTCACAGCAAGAAATAACGGTGCCCAAGGGATTGGACTATGCAGGACAGAGCACATTGTAACCATTGCTCCTATCAAAATAAGTTTTAGTTGCTACAAATGTTTTGCTGAATGTGTGATGTTCTATGGCTTGTTGCAAGTCTTATCAATGTTGTAGTTTTGCTTGCTTGCTTGCAATGCTATGTGATGTTAACAATGATGTCTGGTTTTGGAGCTCTTTTGGTTTTCTCATGTTTTTTAGTGTGTTTCAGTTCTTTGCTTCAGATGACAGAATTAAGGCGGTAAGAAGAATGATCATGGCGGCTACAACTGAACAGAGGAAGGCAGCATTGAACCTCTTACTACCGTATCAAAGGTCTGACTTTGAAGGAATTTTTCGTGCAATGGATGGTATTTTTCAAAATGCCTTAGAATCTCAGTACATTGGATTGTTAAGCTCTAAGTCTATATGTTTAAGATTTTGTCTATCTTTTGCTATAAATTTGTAGCTGTAACTTAGCTATTAGATAAATTTATGAAATTCCAGGTCTTCCAGTAACAATCCGCCTGTTAGATCCTCCACTTCATGAATTTCTTCCAGAAGGTGACTTAGAGCAGATTGTCGGGGAACTAACTGCAGAGACTGGCATGACTGAGGATGAAGTTTTCTCAAGAATTGAGAAATTATCAGAAGTAAACCCCATGCTTGGTTTCCGAGGCTGCAGGTTTGACGGCTCTTCAATTTCCATATGAGCTCTCTACCTAAAGATACTCAAATTTTTGTTCTCAGAAAGTTTTGTAACTGATTAACTTCAGTCAATTGGTTCATTAGCTTCACACAGTCATCATTTCTTGTCTATTCAGCATTTGATGTTTGATTTCATTCGTTAAACAAGCTTTCCCCTGCATAAATTTAACAACTTGATGAATGTACATAATAATGAACTTAGTTGCCTAACACTTTGAATCGATTGGCCATAGTGAAAGTTTGATATCTCACTGTGACATGTAGAAAGATCATCTATTTTTTTGTTGATGAAAAGGGTTCTTTTGGTGTGTCAACAGGCTAGGGATATCGTACCCAGAACTCACTGAAATGCAGGCTCGTGCCATCTTTCAGGCTGCAGTCTCAATGAGAAACCAGGGTGTCAAAGTTTTCCCTGAGATAATGGTTCCCCTTGTTGGAACACCTCAGGCAAGATCCTGCATTCTAATTCATCCCTTTGTCCTTTCATGAGCATGCAAAGTTCCATCTTTCTGAAAACATTGACATTTTTGCATGTCAATGTCATGCAGGAACTACGGCATCAAGTCAGCCTAATTCGAAGTGTTGCAAACAAAGTGTTCTCTGAGATGGGTACTACCTTGAGCTATAAAGTTGGCACTATGATTGAGATCCCTAGAGCTGCTCTGGTTGCAGATGAGGCAGGCTAAGTTGATATGTTTAATTTATACTTAACAGTGTAAAAGGAAGAACATATTGTTCATAATCTGCTGATCAACATCATAGATTGCGAAGGAAGCTGAGTTCTTCTCATTCGGGACCAACGATCTCACACAAATGACCTTTGGATACAGCAGAGATGATGTGGGAAAGTTTCTACCCATTTACCTGTCCAAAGGCCTTCTTCAAAATGATCCATTTGAGGTAAGTCATATTTCCTGCGAGTCCATACAGGCTTCATTGCAGATAGCACTTTCCCCGATAGTACCAGAAAAAGGAAAAATAATTCAAACTGATTTCTTGACACTAACAGTCCAAATGCACTGCTTTCAGGTACTTGATCAAAGTGGTGTAGGGCAGCTCATCAAGATGGCCACCGAAAAGGGTCGTGCTGCAAGGCCTAGCTTGAAGGTAACCGGCAATGCATAGCTATTAAGCATTTTATCACAAATTGCAGTGTCAACTTAACAGGGATAATGGCCATGTATTAACAAGATTTTTGTTATTCCATTCTTCTTATGATATTTTTGGATGGTGATTATAAACAAACAGGTTGGAATATGTGGAGAGCATGGTGGGGAGCCTTCTTCTGTTGCATTTTTCGCAGAGGCGGGACTAGACTATGTTTCGTGTTCTCCATTCAGGTTTGCATTTCTTTCATTTGTCTTCTGTAAGTTGAGTTCCTTAGACTAATTTAATAGCTAGATCAAATTCCTTATTCCAAGTTCTTTTTGCAGGGTACCTATTGCTAGGCTAGCAGCAGCTCAAGTTGCTGTCTGAGAAAGATTGCATGGTTGGTGACTGTGCGATTGTAAATAAATGCGGTTTACTTGTAATTCATACAAAGCCATGATCATTATAGAAACCAAAACAGGGAACAAATAAAGTAGGCAAATGTGAATAATTCTTAAGCTTCAACATTTGGCATAAGTTGTTTGTTATATTGAACAACTTGTGACTTGGTATAACTGCACAAGTTGCATTCCACTTCTTGCATTGATCATATATATATATATACATAATTACTATAAGCAAATCCTATAGTTACTATATAGTGTCTTTATGAGCTCCACATTGCACTCTCACACTCTCTGCCATAGAAGAGAGACAGAGTAACACACGACGTAATCCACACCATTCAATTTTCTTATACTCTGAAGGATATAAGGGGCTTGTAGCTCAATTAGTAAACAAACAATGAAAAGCATAAACTTGCGTGAGCAAACACTAGTACTTGTTTTCACGTGTTAAACAAGAAGCACAGATACTTCAATTTCTTCAGGATTTGTCTGAGTCTTGTGAAGAATCAGAACTTGAGGAGGGGTATCCGATTCCATGGCGATTATTAGGGAACATAAAGAAAACAGTACTGGCAATTGCACCGATGAGAGGAGGCAACACCTGCAGCAAAACCCTCTCAGCGGACTCAAACCCTGGATAGAAGCACCGGACAGTGTTGGTGTCCAATAGTGATACAACTGCAAACACAATCAAGGAAAAGAAGGCATGCACAAAGTCCCCATCCCTAAGTTTATAAGCAGACAAGTCCACAGAGTTGGAATTTGTTGAGGGCCAAAGACCCTTAGGTGTTACAAACGCATAGTGGGTTTGTCCATCACTGCCGGTGTAACTATCAGTGAAGGAAGCAAAAAAGCAAGAGAAACCGGAAATGCCGATGAGAATGGCGCTTAGGTATTTGTTGATTGTGGAGCAGTGGCCATTGTTGGTAAAGACAGGGTTGAGGAACTGGAACAAGAAGACCGTGCCGGTGGGGAGGGGCTTGATGAGATTGCCTGCTCCTGTTAATGTTTTTTTGTTGGTTGTTGTCTTGGGGGAAGAGCAAGTAGAACCCCCCATTTGGGAATTAATGTGTTCTTGAGGGAGTTATTGGAAGTGTTCTTTGTGTTGTGTTGTGGTTCTTTGATTAAAAAAATATGTCATATATATATTCGTAGAGAAAGTGAGTACTTGCCTTCACGTTAATTGAAAAATGGTTTTGTCGTGTTGATTTGGAAAGGTGGCTTTTACTTTTAAAAAGGGCGGACTCCGTTTCTAATTCAAGCTTAGAGGAACATAACATATTGTTGAATTTGCTAGTACTCAGAAGATCAGGATAAAGGATCCAGATCCTCTGCTCGGATTTTATCTATATCGACACATTAAAAACCCAATTTCAATATATAATATCTAATTCTCCCTCTATGCCTTCCAATTTTGTAAGCAAGAATTTTTTAAAGTTCCTGTGGATGGGACAATCATTGTGAATGAGTCATTGAAGGACCCATCCATGATCCATCCACCATTCCAACTACCGAAGTCAGAGACAGGTACTGACCAACACAACAAAGTTGTTCAAAACAACACTGTTCTGAGATGGTGCGGCTTCCTATGAATGAAGGAGCAGGGATTGACGACGAAGAGGGAACAGGTCGGGGAAGATGGAATAACGGCTGTGGGAGAAGTTTTGGTCTGATAGTTTTTTTTACATAAGTTGTCTGGGTGAAGAACAAAGAACTGCGAGAGTAGAAAAAAGATTGAATTAGTTTTCAATTTTCGGGTATTTTCTCAATGCTAAACCAAATCTTTCTCAATGCTTCTGTTAGTTCCAATCCTCTGTTAGTTTCAACTCTGTCTTAGGCTTCAAAAATATATTCAATTACTAAAAATGTTTTTAATGTTTTGGGAGACCAAACTGCAAGTGCTAATACTTCCATCCAATGTATTTGTGTACATGATCATTATCCCTATTTTGTAACTCACGATAAAAAGGAACAACAAAGGTAGTCCAAATTGTGCATGCCAAGCAATGTTTTGAAAGGCGAGGAGTAAGGGCAAAGCGTTTTTATTCTCGCTATGTGAGGCATAAGTCTTGAAGCATTGAAACGTAAGCCTTTCAAATATTAATTTATTTTAATAAAAAAAAATTGATAAATAATACAATACACAATTAAATTGTACTACTAATTATTATTGAACCCTAATAATGTATTAAGTATAATCAAATATAAGTACTAATGGTCTCATTCATGCATAATAATCAATCCCTAAATTTAAAATATTTATTCAACATCAAAACAAAAACACAATTCAGTTCA